TTTCTCTCAAGATTAAGCCCTCTTATCATTCCGTAGTTGTGCCTTATTAACAGTTCACACCTGTTTCTATAATGGACAACTTCTTGCTCCGGCAAAATACTCCATCACACTTCCTTTTAGTAGCTACCAAATATTTTGGTCGTGCCTAATTTCTGGCCTACCTAACTTACTTGCGAACATTAATTTCTTTGTTGTTAGTTCATCTTATGTTGGTGAGCATTCAATTTCACAAGATACTAGCAGTATATACATGTTCGGATTTGGGAAGAAATCTAGTTGTTGTAGGCCTTACTGGTGATGGTGTCCTTGATTTTCTTTTACACGGGAACGATATGAATGGCCCTTGTTTCAGAGATATGTGTGCGACTCATTTTTTGTCGACCAATGGCTCCCACCCTCACAAGAAGAAAATATGAAAAAAAGAAGGCATAAAGAGCAGAGGCAAGCATCATGCAGGACTCGCTTGATCTCACAATCCGACGCCCCATTAAGAAATTCTTTAATCAACTTGCCGTACCACATTAGCAATTAACTAAATAGCTAAGAATCTTGTACTGTATTGCTCATTAACATAATGAGAAGGTAATCAAGAAAAGCAGAGCACCAGCAAAGTGTTTCGTTGAGTTGGTGATTTCGTTTGCCACTTACCCTTGTTAATGTCTGTGTGCTGATCTTACATTGTTTTGTGGATTAATTTAATGGGAAAACGAAGGGAGTTGCTGGGCCTTCTCAGCAGTTGCTGCCGTGGAAGGGATCAACCAGATTGTGACTGGTGATTTGATCTCCCTGTCTGAGCAAGAACTAGTGGATTGTGATACTTCTTATGATGAAGGCTGCAACGGTGGCCTCATGGACTATGCGTTTGAGTTCATCATCAACAATGGTGGCATTGATACTGAGGAGGACTATCCGTACAGAGGCAGGGACATGAGATGTGACACATACAGGGTACGCATTGAATTCTTTATGTTAGTTTAAAAAAAAAAAATTAATCAGCAAAAAAAATAATGACTAAGAACCTAGCTCTTGCTTGCAGAAAAATGCCAGGGTGGTCACAATTGACGGCTATGAAGATGTAATTCCCTATGATGAGAGGGCACTGCAGAAGGCCGCGGCCAATCAACCCGTCAGTGTTGCCATTGAAGGTTCGAGCAGAGATTTCCAACTCTATTTGAAAGTGAGTTCATCTTTCTAGTCATTGAAAAATGCCAAAAAAAGTTTTCCTTCGTTGAATGAATATGTTTTCATGATTTAAAGTGAGGATGTTTGCAATCATTGCAACAATGATGTATATACGGAAACTTTTATGTTGTCATCAAATAATTGTTTAATTAGTTAATTTGTTCTCTTCCTAGTACTTCACTGCAACTGAAAGGTAATGGTTTAGCTCCTTTCTATTATTGAAAACTGGTTCCCATTCACCTCATAATTTTGTTGGTTTACCACGAGCAAGACTCTTTAATTTTTTAGTGTGTAGAAGGCTACAACTCGTGAGATTTTCGAGTTCAGTGCTGAACTCTGTAATTCTATAGGGATAGGACACAACATGCTGCTTAATTCTGCACAGTTTCTGCTCTTTACTTGCCTGTTAATATATATTTACTTTGAACAACTTCAGGGTGTATTCACCGGCAACTGTGGGACTGCATTAGATCACGGTGTGAATGTGGTTGGATACGGTACAGCAAACGGTAAGGATTATTGGATCGTCAGGAACTCATGGGGTGCAGAGTGGGGGGAGGATGGCTACATCAGGATGGAGCGTAATGTCAAAGCAAACTCAGGCCTATGTGGCATCACCAGTGAGCCCTCTTACCCTGTCAAGAAAGGCCCAAATCCTCCCAATCCTGGTCCTTCCCCTCCATCTCCAATCAAGCCTCCGGCAGCCTGTGATAATTACTATGAATGCCCACAGGACAACACCTGCTGCTGCGTCTACGAGTTCTATGGCTCGTGCTTCGAATGGGGATGCTGCCCTCTAGAAGGTGCCGTATGCTGTGAAGACCACTACAGCTGCTGCCCCCACGATTACCCCGTTTGCCATGTTCAGTCAGGCACTTGCTCACTTGTAAGTAAATGCTGTCATTTAACTTGTCCTTAGATAATTTTCTTGCAGATACACCGAGTTTTATCTTTGCTTATAAAACCAACTTTCTTGTTTTAACACAGAGCAAGGACAACCCTCTTGGAGTGAAGGTTATGAAGCACATGCTTGCTAGGCCTATTAAGAGCATGAAGTCAGGCACGGAAGGAATGAAGAGCAGCTCTTAAAAAGACCTGATGACCAATCTGTAAGTGGTGGATAAAGGAAAGGAAAGGCAGAGGTTTATCACCCTGTTTTCCATAGAGGCCTCTAGTCCACCACTGAAGTTACAGAATCCGATTGATGATTGATTAAAGATGATTAGACGGTCATCTGTATATAGGCTTTAAATATCTATCTAAAACTTCTATTCGAGCAAACAGAACAAGTAGAACATTCATCTGCTACAATCTGACTTGTTTATGTGTACTTAAATCTTATTTAAATGCTGGCTTGGATTTCATTTCGGTCAATGGCGATCTGGTTCCTTTTAACAGTTTATGTGCTGCTTTACTGGTTATATATTACATAAAGCTTTAGCAGCGGCATGAGTGCTATTTAGGCACTGGCCAAAAGGTGGTTATGTAAAGGCTTTAGAGAAAACCATTCTGGGAAATATTTTTGAGATCCTCACAGGAACGGTGAACTTTTAATGAACGAGGGAGGTTAGTTGATTATCATCGGGGCTATGTGAATTTAGTGCAGCAAAATTTTAAGCAAATAAAGTTAATCCATATCGAATAATGGGTGAATTCATATTTGTGTTTTGGCTTGAACGAGGCTGATCTTGAACAGTTGCAGCTGATGAACAAATTTTTTTTCCCTTTGGATGGATGGTGGTGAACTTCCATGACTGCAGGAATTCGTCGTACAAAAAAAAAAAAAACTGATATTGGATATGAATTTCTGATGGGGCTGGGCCTTTTGCCGATTTAGGTAGCTATCCAAATTTGACTGTGATGACCCTTTCAAATTCTTCTATCAGCCTTAACCACTTTTAAGGACGGGGCCCAAGTACCCCTAACATTTTTCAACCTCCAAGTTTTTCCTTGGCTTTCATCCTTGTTACATGACAAAATTTCAACCAATGACGTGCTAAACTATTTTTAACCCAAAAAAAAAAAAGAAGTGTAAAACTATTTCTTCTACAGATTTTTTATGAACAAATCCTATCCATATTTATATTGCACAAGAAATCAAAGAATGAGCTAAAGCAAATAAAAATTGATCTTAGACTATGCAAATAATAAGAGCATATAAACTTACTTTGGACAATACTCCCAGACAAACCACATATATTGTTTGAGATTCAAATCAACGAGTCGTATGATTGAAAGGGGCCACATCAATGTCCTGTTAAACATCGCAATTATTTTTCTCCGAATTTACGCACCACCTTGCAAGAAAAGCCCAAAAAAATTGGGGTTAGGGTTCGGGACCATCCAATCTGTCAAAGATTGGATATCATATCCAGCTTCTTTCACGCGCCACAATTTGATCATTGTTCTTTGCTCACTCATCTTTTTGTCCATCTTTTATCTTCTTTTTCTTCTTTCGCTTTCATGGTATATCTGTTCCTTTTTCAGTCAAGATGCTATATATATATCTTTTCTACTTAGTGGAAAAGTTAAAAAAAGAGTAGCAATATCTGAAATTTATCATTTTGTTTTTCTCTCAATCCCAGTTTGCCTCTGTCAATCGCAAAAATTTTTATTGCTTTCTTCGAAAGGAATGAATTGACAATTGGGTAGAGCTAAGGATTAATAGCCTCATCTCATCTGTAGACAGATTTTAGTGTATCCTTGGCAACTTTGTGACTGCATCAATTACAAGTCCTGCTAATGAAACAACAAGAACAGACGACCAATCTATATATATATATCATCAACTCTCATCAAGGGGTGTGTTTGGATTGCAGATTTTCAAAGAAAAATTACTATGTTTTTCGTGGATACATTTTTCAATTATCTTTTTATTTTACACATATTAAATCGCCGTAGTAATTTTTCTACAAAAAAATCCAGAAAAATGCAATCCAAACGCACGCTTATTAGTCAGCAAACTAGCAATCCTAAAGTGCAATTAAGCGTGACAACATTAGATTGGATATCTGTTTGTACCTCTACTCTATGGTTCCAAAAATCAGAAGCACTACGTAATACTCCATAACCTACATTTTGGTGGCCAAAAGAAAAAAAAATTATTTGGCAATTAGTGAGATATTGGCACATAGCTGCAGTTACAAGTGGGTAAGTAGGAAGCAAAATTTAAATCCATTCCCTAGATGCCGATATAGCAGATATATATATATATATATATATATATATATATATATAAGTAATGATGTGATATGTAGTTGTGTACTAACAGCTTGAATGTGACACTGTTTCCTCCAAGAGATGGAGATGTGGTACAAGAAGTTAGGTTGAATCGAAAATCCAAGATATTTCTATTGGGCCGACGCCATTAATTTCAAGCTTCTGGAGTTCAGATTACTAGTGGTGACATTTTCATCTCCTTCCAACCCTGTCTTTATTGCCCCTGAGACAAGTGTTGTCACCATTAACTTGGAACTACGTTGTATTATACTGCTGCTGCTGCTGCTGCTGCGCTTATCTGTATATCGCAGGAATATGTTGCATAATTAGAAGAAGTTGTCGTCTGACAAAAAAAGAACAACTCAAATTATGTGCGTTAATTGTAATGTTATTCAAATGTAATCCTTCCGCTCGTCTTGACCCGATGATCATAATCATGGTAGAATTGATTATAATCTTGTATGGTTATCTAAAGACCACAAAGCATAACTCAAAATTGTGTTAAAGACCATTGGATTCTAAGTTATCCATAATAACATTTCTTGTTTCAATTCCAGATAGAACGTGGAGTGCATATATGCGCATTTGAGGATCAAAAATCTCAAACATAATGTTGAAGATTGCAGTTTGCAATAAGAGCTGAGATTCATTAAATTTATACAGAGTTTTATGCATCTAAAATTAAGCTGCCAGCGCCAAATCCAATACTCTTCTTGATAGTCTTAACATTAGAATCATGACAACGGTAAGAACTAATATCCAGCTATTTAATTAAGGTTCAGAGCACACTCTTCTTCTGACTGGGGTCCAAACCCCAGTTTCACTACCCTACATTCCACTCCTAAACTATGGCTTAAAGTTCCAGGCTTTCCTTCTTGAGCTGCCTCCATTGCACAGGTTGTTTCAGCCTTTATATCACCACTTTGCATTTCACTTAAACCAATAAATTCATTGACCTTAACAGACTGGCTTGAAGTTTTCATGGTGCAATTCTGTTTGCTCAGCAGCAGAGTATCAGTTGCTTCAATTGCATTATAAGATGGTGAGATGGAAGGCATCTTTGGAATATAAGCAGCTCCAGGACTGCAAGCTGATGAGGGCAGAAGAGGTGGAATGGACCATAATGCCGGAGGTGGTCCAATCATGCCATTATGGGGACTGTTGAAGCCTAAGTTGATGGACTTGACTGGAAATTCGTCAGGTCGATCACAGTAGAGTCTCTTTGATCCAACTAGCTGGCGTTTATCATCAACCCCATAAGCTGTTTCTCCAGTTTCGATCATCAAATGGGGTGTTGTATTGGTCCTGAAAGTATGGGGCTGCTGAATTGGTAAATATGGTCTTTGTATAGCATAGATGCCTGGTATGCTCTGCAGGTAGCTGAACTTCCTTTGGATGCTTATCACCAAATTAAGATCTTCAGCAACCTAAAATTAAATATTGAAATGTTGTAAATCTCAACTGATTAACAGATGGATACCATGGAAAATTCCGTAAGAGTTGGAGAAGGAGAGACGGACCTTGTCAAACGAGCCAAGTTGTATTATGCCTTCTCTTACTGCTATGATTGCAATCGTCTGCCAAGGATTGAAACAATTTTTGATGTGATCTTGGTGGAACTGAGAAGAATATGTATAGGAGTTTACACTAACCTGAATGCCTGAATTAAATTGAGCCTCCCATGCTCTTGGTTGCTGTTTAAAAAGAAAGATCAAGTACAAGAAAATGCAATCAATTGACATGAAAAAAAAAAAGAAAAAAAAGAGGTAATACTGGAAATTTGGTTTCAACTCCTCACAAGGGCAATTTTTTGCTTACAGGATCAACGGATACATTCCATGAATGGATGAAGCTGGGATCATTTTCATTTGGACAGTCTCTGAACACCCATTTATGACTGTTATCTGAAGCAACTTTACCCACCAATCTGTAACCAAGATCATACAAGATAATTGGAATTTTAATCCACTTAAACAGTAATCACAAGAAGGTTAAGTAAGAACATAACTGCTATCTATATGTACCCTTCTCCAAAGTTATAGACCTCATGAGACATTTTGAAGAAAATATCAGCTCCAAATCTTCCCTTCACATATCCGCTACCTGCTCGTTCGCATTCGTAAAAATCACAGAATCCATCTTCCCAAACAAGTATCCTGAGCCAAAAATTGGAAGTTAGATTACTTGATGAGTTGTAATTGGACACAAAATGATCATAATTCTCAAATAAAAACTTTACCAGTTCCTTTTGTTCCCTGTAGCACGATCAAGTATGCTTCCTCCATGATCCCACCTGCAACATTTCGAGCAAATTATGATCTTCATTACGTTACAATTACCGAAAAAGAGCATTTCAAGAATTCTTGAAATTCATTATTTGGATTGAAACATTTAAGGTACTTACTTGGGTGGAGGATAATTTCTTGGCAGGATCCTCCAGAAAACAGAATATACCCACTTAGCAGAGGTGGAAGAATCTGAACTAGAAGCAGTACTAGTTCGTGTAGTACACAAGCTTCTGAGAGTGTGCTGTAAAAGACAGTTAAGCATGGGAAGTCCACCATCCATTGTCCAGAGCCAGAGAGAACTGACTGAAAGAGAAAAACAAGCTTACAACTTCGGTGTAGGTTCCAATCACAATTAAAGGATAAAGAGCAAACAAAGAAAAGTTGCATAACCACGCGTAAGAGAGGAGAGTGAATTGCACAACTTTTGCAACCCCAAAACTTCTTTTCTTTTTTTTCCTTTTACTCTTTGGCTTTTGGACTTTCTCTGACTAGAGGAATCAGGGAGTACTTGAAAATGTGAGGTCATGGAGCTGGAAAAGATATAGTTGCCCTGCCCTCTGAAGGAAGGAACACGAGTAGGGACTATACCAAACAGGGGGTTGGTTAAATGACAAGGGTCCAAAAAACGAAAGTTGAAAGTTTGTGCATCTTTATCAGACATCAAGTACGACTTGTCCAAAGAAGTTCAAGATTAAAAACTAAGAAATCACGAGTAAGTAGTAGTTTATATGCAAATGCTAATCCAAAACCACCTATATTTATCGGGTATTCCTGCGTTAAACTAGTAGTAAACTACTGCTAAATTATTAGAACTCAAAAGTCTTGATCATCGTTTTCTATACATAAATTTCTTGAGATGGCCCGTGAACTATTTTGTCAACATAATAATCAAATCAACAGTAGTGTTGTTGGATGAATTTTGACGTTCGGGGACTACCCAAAAAAAAAAAAAAAAATCTCTTAGCAGTCTGTTTGAACTTTAATACACTTTAATTGTCCTTGGCAGAAGTAGATGACAGAAGTTACTCCCACTACGGTACTGAGCTTATGAGATTTGATGCTGCTGTCTTTCTACACAGCTTAACAACTGTCTCATTTTCCTAAGACTTTGGTGAGACTGGTCAGGCCCGATGAAATGTACAGCTCCCCAAATTCTTTGCTAGAAGTAAATACGACGCACATTAGCTGCTTGCTTTAGAGGGCATTGTCATGATTGTGCCTTCTTCTAATCAATTACTTTTTAGTTCATCAGAAATGGACTTACAACCTATCATGAAAATCTCTTTCCGCTAATCATTCTTGGTGGACGAGAAAAGTGGAACCTGTCTGTTACTCGAAATGGAAAATTGTTCGTTTTTCCCCCCCTCCCATTTTGTATTTTTGATGGTAAACAGATTATTAATTTTGCCCAATCAAGCTTTGATAAGTTGACTTTGCTTATTCAAGCGATTACCTCAGCTGAAACATTTTATATGACAAACCATTCCCTTCCTAGACTCCATCACCTCTTCCTAACATCATTCAGCTACGTACAAGCAACCAATGGCCACCAACGACACGCCATCTACACCTCAAATTGTGGCCTATCCCATATTCATGTGACCGCGAGTTCTTGCAGCTTTAGGCTCCGATAACAATAAGTTGTGTCCTAGCAACGCAGTTATGGTCACCTCTTTTTATTGTTGACAATTTGTCAAAAGGGACAATAACACAGTAGACGATCTTCCTAATATATATATATTTTTTTTTTTCGACACAGGGGTGTCCGGGTCAATCCTTACGGGGCCCGACTAATCCCCTGCGGCCTGGGCCCGGCGCCCCAACCCGGTCCAAACGCGTTAAGTGCGCGGAGAAATCCAGCGGAGCGGAGACTCGATCTTGTGACCTCAAGGTTCACGGGTGAGAGGCGCTGCCGCTGGACCATTCACGCGGGGGCCGACGATCTTCCTAAATACTAGATGATAAATTAGTAAAGCTAAACAGCCAAAATTAAAAGCATCAAGTTTGATGAAGCCGAAATTATGGTTATATAATCACTTTATGTGGTACACAACCCAATAAGTTAGTTGAGAAGAAGTCTCAAGGTGCGTTTAATAAAATTGAAAATTGAAAAATAAATTGTTAAGTTTTAAATGTAATACAGTTGAGTGTATTTATCACTTATTTTTTGGAACAAGTTTTGCCTCATAAATTTAATGCTAATTAATTAAATCAGATGTCTTAATTTGTTGTTATTAAATGTGTTTGAACATGCTAAAATCTGAACTCGTTAAATTTAAGTGCTGTATTTGAATTATCAAACAGGGCCTTAGTTTTATTCATTCACTTGTTTGAAGCTACAAGATGTTGACAATTAGAAGCTTATGCCAAGTTGGTTCGTTTACCTTTCGGCACATCGCAGTCGTAGGGAGATTTGAGTGATTGTGTGCCATAGTTAGGTCCTCCTCAAGAACCCCAGACTAATTCAAATAATCCAACCAATTTAACTGCTGAAAGAGCAACTCCAAATTCAGTGTCTGCAGAATTGAATACTACAGTCCGTTAAGGTCACAAACATGTCTAGTAATTTAAGAAATTTCTAACCAAAAGATGAGGGCATATGGTATCCTCATTTAGAGATCACAGTAAGTTGCCTAATGACATTCAAGAGACTGGATCCTAATCTTGAGGAGGCCTCCTCGAGGACAAATTGCTTGTAGTTGCAGGTGGTCCTGCAAGGTTGAGTGGTCATATCACCCCACGCCGTGCACTAAATCTTGTCCCAAGTCCATCATCAAGATTGATTTGGAACTTTGTCTTACCTCTTACAACCGGACACACCTATTTTTTCTTCACTGTATACCGTTTCCATGATGTTGATCTTAGCTTGCAAAATCCATTTTGCTGGCGTGCTATTTGTTTTATTGGGCTATATTTCGTGTCCCTCTGGCTCCCTTGCATTGGCCACCGAATGGATGAGCAGAAAATTATTATAGGAAAGAGCGACTCCAATATTTCTTAACCTCAAGAAAATGAGGAAGCCACGGTGAAGAAATGGGAATATGTATATTATGCATCTATCAGGGTGAATAGCATCAATCACTAGAGGACGCTGCAACCACAAGCTGCATCATTTGAGAACTATAATCAGCAAGCTTAGAAAGTTACAAGTCCTGGCAGATATATGGTTTCATTTGCACAAGACTGATAAATCAGGGTCCTCCGCATCCATCCTAGTTTTGTTGAGGTCGACTTTTTTGACCATCGGAAACAAACCATACTTTTCCTACCGGCTTCAATTATAGAATGGAGGTCTCATGCAAGTTCGGAATCGACACTTAAAAGCATCAGACACTTTAGTCCACCGATGATCTTGCTTGACTTGTAACAATGCGTCTACCAGACCAATCCTCCAATGCCTCAGCTTGGGTCAAATGAAAACCAAAGAAGAAAAATGAAGGAAAAATGCATCAGAAGTTTCATTTCACGGACAGGTGGACTACGCAGAGAAAATTTATTTAAAACTCTATCATCTCCACCAAAAAAGGGTCGCAAAATACTTTTAACACCAAAATTTCCATCCTAATTCCAATCCCGATCCCATCCCAAGTTAAAATATGTAGGATCACAGTGCAGAATTTGTGCTTCCACGTTAACTAACCCAAGAGCCTTTTCTCTCTCTTGAAACCTTCTTTCATTTGAAAATAGATGTCAGCGCTCTCAACAAGCTCAACCTTCACAAAACTGGAGACAACGGTAAACTTCAATTACAAAGAATCGTGCTCCCTACTCAATGACAATGGAGATAAAAGGCATAATATGTACCGTGGCATCTTGAAAGCAAGGGGCAGATAATACAACCCCACGGAAGCAGGTACCAAGACTTGACATCTCCAGATTGTAGGCCAACAGGGTATATTAACACTTTCCAACAAGACATCAATGGCATGGGCCTTCCAGCCCCCTCAATAATCACTTGTCCTACCTTCCCTTATCTTTTAGGATAGAGGTTTCAAGTACAGTTCCTACTGGTGAAGTTTCGTGATTAAAAATAAATCGCTTGGGCTTACCTTTAATCATGTTCATCTTTCCTGATCAACTTCATATAACAATCAACACGCTATACTAACTAAGATCACACTCACTAAAATGTGAGAAGAACTTGTCACCTCAGGACAAACCCCATAGAAAAATGGATTCATCCCAATCAAAACTCTTAATCCAGAAGCATTGCACGACTGCCAACTTAAATTCCAAGGCAATCATCTATCGACTTTTCGGGGGCTCAATCATATAAAAAATAAAAATAAGGAATTGCAACATGAGAGCAAGATATCTACCAAAAGCATGGGATACAAATCTGCCAGTCAAAGAAAGGATCAGCGCCTTTGAAGAGGTGATCTTACTCAGGTCAAATGACATGAGAAATACAACAAAACATTGTAAAATAGGAGAGCAAGGAAAGCTAGATACTAAAATATCTGTGAATAGTACAATACATTTTAGGATTTAATCGTTCTGCATTTACATTGACATGTAATGGAATAAGTGTCATATCAGTTAGAAGTAAAAAGGTGTTCTATATGAGCATAGAGGCACCAGAAAACTAAATTATCCTTCACTGCAAAAATAAGATACTTGGAGAATTCTTCGGGAATAACTATGAAATTCCATTGCTGAAGATTATAGCCGCCTAAACAACCTAAAATATAGGTAAAAGTCTTCCATCTTTACCTGAACCATCAAGGCCTGGAAATGCTAGCGTCATCAGAGGGAACTACTTTCTTCCCGGTGTAACGCTGAGTCAAAAGGGTGAAATGTTTCAACTACTTTACAAATGCCAAAATAAAATCTGACAGGATAACAGAAACAAAATACTAAAAATGACCAATTAATATCTAATAACTAAATGGTTGAGTATCTACCTGTTTACCAAAGGTGAAGGGCACATATCTATATTTGATCATGTGCATTATCTGCCTCTTCATCGTTGAAATGAATAGAACCAACCAATAGAATAACAAAATTGGCCAGAACACAGGTACATCAAACGCACTGAAAAAAGTCAGCACAAATGCAACACAGAAGGCTTTTGTGAGTGAATACCTGTCATTAAGAAGTAAAGAAGATTAATCCTTCCATTTTCCAGTAACAGATACTGCATAATGGTATTCGGAACTCATAAGATAAAGCATCAGGTGAAGTCTGTCAAGGTAAGATGAATGACAGTAAATCATGATTAAAGAGGAGAGAAACTAAGACTGTGTAAAATGACAAGTTGCAAAAGAGGAAATATTGTTGGACAAATACACAGTTAAAACTGAGGAAATCATATAGACAGGAAATCAAAGCCTCAATAAACGTAGCGACCATATAGCTCAGCAATATTTTGCCAGAATACAATCATGTGTGACCATAGCTGATTACTTAAGGTCTCTGAGTCGAACATGCTAGTAGCTGATTCAGACAATCAGACATTGATTTCAACATTAACATCCTATCCATTTCACTACTCAGAAGTACAAAAGATGGCTTTTCTACAGATAATAATATTTTACATCCAGGAAAGTGATTTGGATGGACTCGTGACTCATTAGACAACTCCATGCCAG